ACTGGTCATGAATTTATAATTCCCCATGAGCATAAAACTTTTACTCCGATGGAACAAATTGAGAAACCCTATATGCAAAATCCTGAGAAGGATGACACTATAGTCACTAGGAAAAGTAAGAGACAGAGGACTGCAAAGTCTTTTGGTGATGACTATATTGTGTACCTTGTGGATGACACACCAACGACCATTGAAGAGGCATATTCCTCTCCTGATGCTGACTTATGGAAGGAAGCAGTACGGAGTGAGATGGATTCTATTATGTCTAATGAAACTTGGGAAATAGTTGATCGTCCCTATGGTGCAAGCCTATAGGGTGTAAATGGGTGTTTAGGAAAAAGCTTAGGCCTGATAGTACTATCGAGAGGTACAAGGCAAGACTTATGGCCAAGGGTTATACTCAAAAGAAAGGTGATGATTTCTTTGATACTTATTCACCAGTTGTCCGATTGACTACAATTCGAGTTTTGCTTTCTCTGACAGCCTCCTATGGTCTTATCGTTCATCAAATGGACGTTAAGACAGCTTTCCTAAACAGAGAGTTAGAGGAGGAGATCTATATGGATCAGTCAGATGGATTTGTAGCAAATGGTCAAGAAGGCAAGGTGTGTAAATTATTAGTCATTATATAGCCTAAAACAAGCTTCTAAGCAGTGGCATGAGAAGTTTGATAGAACTCTAACATCTGCTGGCTTTGTTGTGAATGAAGCTGACAAATGTGTGTACTATCGGTGTGGTGGGGATGAAGGGGTTATTTTGTGCTTATATGTTGATGACATACTAATCTTTGGATCTAGCCTCAAAGTGATTGAGGAGGTGAAGAAATTTTTATCTAATAATTTTGAAATGAAAGATTTGGGAGAGGCTAATGTTATTCTTAATATCAAGCTTCTGAGAGAAGGTGATGATGGGGTAACTCTGTTATAATCCCACTATGTGGAAAAGGTGCTGAGTCACTTTGGGTTTAGTGACTGTGAACCTGCTCCTACACCTTATGACCCTAGTGTGCTATTGAGGAAAAATTAAAGAATAGCAATGGATCAATTGAGATATTCCCAAATCATTAGTTCGCTCATGTATCTTGCTAGTGCAACAAGGCCTGACATCTTATTTGCTGTGAGCAAGCTGGGCCGGTTTATGTCAAACCCGGGAGATGATCATTGGCGTGCTCTTGAGAGAGTGATGCGCTATCTAAAAGACAATATGAGCTATGGTATTCGTTATACCGGACACCCGAAGGTGCTGGAAGACTACTGTGATGCCAACTGGATCTCTGATGCTGATGAGCTTTATGCCACTAGTGGATATGTGTTTTCGCTTGAAGGTGGTGCCGTTTCCTAGAAGTCTTGTAAGCAGACTATCTTAACGAAGTCTACAATGGAAGCAGAACTCACAGCATTAGACACCGCTAGCTCTGAGACCGAGTGGCTTCGTGATCTCCTTATGGATTTACCGGTTGTTGAAAAACACATACCGACTATTTCTATGAACTGCGATAACCAGACTGTGATTACGAAGATTAACAGTTCTAAGGATAACATGAAGTCCACAAGGCATGTTAAGAGACGACTAAAATCTGTCAGAAAATTGAGAAACTCTAGAGTAATAGCGTTGGACTATGTTCACACATCTAACAATCTAGCAGATCAATTTACTAAGGGTCTGTCACGTAATGTGATAGAAAGTGCATCGAGAGAGATGGGTTTGAGACCCACATAAAATTGACTATAGTGGTAACCTGTTCTGTGTGATCGGAGATCCCGTAAAGTAGGATGGTGAAATAAGTTAGTAGTAAATTATGAGGAAAGATCCTTAATAAGACTCATTTCTGATGCATATCTTTTCTTTCTGTAAGGCAGGTTGGTTTTTACCTTAATATGTTTCAAGTGGCTTGCTAAAGCAAAGATGTTGTCCTACAGAACATCTTTTGAGGAACACACCTATATGAGTCAGACTGCTTGTCACAGTCTATGAGATTTGAGTGATCTCTAAATACTCATGAAAGGTACTGGAGTATGACTTATATGCTTTAAATAGAGGGGATGTCTTTTGCAGCCTAGTATTAGCTAAGGACTTTAGTGACATTCACCTCACACAAAACTGTCAATTTAAGGCTTAGTCCATTGTTCAGTTGTGACTGAGTGAAACTATTGCTCTAGATGGATGTTCAACTTAACAGTCTCCATCGAAACACTGGTATATAAAAGAAATGTGGTTCTGAGACTACTTTGTTACAAGCCCTAGAATTTGGTGGGGATTGTTGGATATATTATGGGCTGGGCCCGTATAATATTTAATAAATTAAATAAAACTCTATGGTGCGTAACATTAAGCGTTGTATGGTTTAATACCGTATGAGATTTTGACTGAACGTTTACTCAGCTTATTTGGTTAAAAATTATCCATCTTAATTGAGAATCTGAGAAAAGGACATAGGAGTGCCACACGCGCGTGCGCGCGCCGCCGCCTGCCGGGCCAGGCCGTGGGCGTGGGCGTGGGCGTGGGCCGAGCGGACAGGCGGGCGTGGCTAGAATTTTGTCACTAATTCTACATAATTACGGGAGTTTCTCTCCTTTATGGTGGAGGCGTGTTGATTGCGCCAGTTACCGTATTTTCGTATCTCCGTCTCCGTCTCTTGAGTTCCTCCGCTGGCCTTCTCCCTCCCCGCTGTAGGCATAAGTTCAGTCCTTCTCTCCCTTTCGCTTCCTGAAAATCCACATCTCAGCCGCTCTTTGGCTTTCCCCGTCCCGCACCTCTGCGCGCACGGAATAGCGGGAGAGCAGATGCTTTTGGAACCCTCGTCCGCCTACGAACCTTGCACGAGGTGTGCAGCGATTAGGTTTTTGGGGAGCGATTCCACGACTGCTCGTCCGACGTCTTCTTCCTGGTGATCACTCGCGGAACCCATCTTCTTCCTCGTGATTGGAGCTGTCTTGACCGTTCGTGGGACTGCACTGCGAACACCTTGCTGCATCGACTGCGGTCCACGACTTCGAGCAACGCACTATGTCTGGTGCGAATGGAGCCTCCGATGCCCTCGGCATGGGACCCTCCGTTGGGTACACTCTTATATCTGTATTACTGTACTTTGCGTTATTACTGTATCGATCAGTATATCATATTTGCATGTTGTAGCATTTGTTAGAGATATACACATGCACATATATGTCGTCACGAACCTGCTGATATTTCATTTCTAGATTAAATTGACCATAAAAATACCTAATTATCTACCACAGGGCCACATGCTCCTGTGTCGTGTCCCTTCTCTCTCCGTGGAAGTCAAAGGTTCAAAAAGCAGTGTGTGAGTCCATCTCGGAGCTCCACAGCTTTCCTGTGGCACAGAATGGAGCCCGGCGGCCCGCAAAACCAGAGCTCGCGCTCGGCAGCCCACACGACCGGACGTTCCCCACGCTGTGGAGCTCGTGCCCAGCAGCTGTGTCATGCGTCCACCGCGCTGTGGAGCTCGTGCCCCGCGTCCGGTCCTTGCTCCCAGCAAAGCCCACACCGGCGGCCGGCGCTCGCACTTGGTGGAGCCTGCGTGCTGCAGCGCTCGCGCCCGGCAGCACACGCCCATCGAAGCTCGCTCATGGCCTCGTCAGCAAGCAGCAGCAGCCCACTGGCGCCCCAAGTGCCACCGCCTCACCCTCGTCCGCGATTCACGACAAGCTCTCCAGCCCGCCGTGGATTCTTTGCTCAAGGAAGAAGGGGATTTGATTGTCTATCACGCAGCCTGGCAAAGAAGGGAAGGACGGATGACTAATCACGGTGCTATCTCCAAATGTGTGACGGAATGCTAGATCCAGTTAACGGACTATTCTTGTAATGGTAGTTTACGTGACATCTTTCGATGTTATTTTCTGAAAACGGTGTTTGTTATAGAACCAATTTTCTCTTTCGACCCAACAGTTCTATCATATTTTGCTTTCCGTTTTTCTCCTTGGCTTTAAGTCTATTATGTTTATATCATAATCCTTTCAACATATTTTCTAATAGCTACAACAATTTTTTTCCCATCCAACTAGTAATTTCAATTTAATGCTTTTGAATTGATGTAACTTAAAAAATGTCTCAGCTTTCACAAGGAAAATGTTATGCCTTAAATATGAGTATTCATGATAAATATTGTTACATCAAAAAAAAATGTCATGAAAAAAGTTATAATGTGGCCATGATTCAAATAATTTCGTCACTAAGTTGAGTTAGATGAATACCTCTGTTTACTACTTCTATTTCGGCATGAATTTGGCATTTGTTTATTTCTCGCAAAAGTTAGGCCGAAATTGGATCATCACGAGGCAAGACTTAGGATTCCCCGAGTGCCCTTATTCCCATATATATGTAGTGTAGTGATATGGCGAGTCAACTGCTTCTCCCCTTCCAACCTGGAGAAACAACTCCAGTGCTGCTCCCCTTCCAACATAGAGAACAGCTCGGACCATAAAGAGTTGGAGAGCAAGTCCTAATTCACCTCCCGCTCAATTTTAGCCACAATCACCTGAAACAAAGCACCCCTGAATTCCCGACAAAGTTAGCAAGTACTCATACTGTATCACTCACTGCAGTCAGTTTAGCCACGCTGCGGCAGCAAGCACAAGCCTTAACATGTCAAGTTCTCAGCAAAACTATTTGTCCCAATAAAGTTAACAAACATTATGCTCAATTTCGCCCTATTGATTCAATTGTTGCCAAAAGGCCAGACAACAGACAAGTGCCCAAATTATAAAGAGTTCAAGTACTCATACTGAAAGCGAAGTTTCCAACAATGAACAAACGGCCTTTGCCAACATCAGTTTGGGACTACATCAGACTCCCTTGCAACAAAAATCCCTACACTGCACTGCAAAATTTACAGGCCATGGTAGCAATCACTGATCAGAGAAAAACCAGTCATCATTGGGAGTTAGGGAGACAAGGCGACACAACACTACATTACTATTATGAACAAAAAGTTGCCTGCCCATGAGTCCTGTACAGAGCCTGAAACTCTGAAGCAAGTCTCAGAGCAGTGGTGGCGAGGAAGGTGCTGGTGGACGCTTACCAAGACTCAAGTTAAGGTCCACTTCCCCACTAACTTCTGCCCTTGGAGACCATCCAATCTGTTCCTGACGCACCGGAAACAGCTCCAGGCAGGCTTCAGAATCCACGCCAGGCTCGCCATGTCCCACGGACACGAAATCAAAGGCCTGTGAGGCCTCACACTTGGCGTCAGGGTTCAGTGTAGAAGACACAACTCCAGTGCTGCTGCCTGTGACAGAATCAGTCATTGCAATCACTTCTGGCACTGGGAATAACACTGCACCTTCATTGACCATCTCCTGGATGAGTTGTTGAGATCTGGGTGTCCGGGCAGCGACAAATCCAAAAAGCTTTGTGGTGGAAGGTTCTGAGTCTGGGTGGGCTTGTTGGTTGCCATGCTCAACAGGTATATCAGCACTTGATTGTTTGGTAATACTTGTGGCATCCCACTGAGGTGAAGAGGTGAAGTCTTCTTGCTGCTCCGCATCTCCAGGAGCATGTAATTTACACTCAGTTCTTGGATGCACAGAGCTGTTTGATCCAGCTTTTGAAGAGTCCGGCTTAGCAGGGGACCAACTGCTACTAAGTGAGGTAATGCCTTCACTCGTGGCAACTTTCATAGTGTGATTTTGTACCTCAGGGTGACCCTTCACCTGCAGCTGATCCTCAGCATCCACAACATGCTTCACATCAAAAGTTTGTTTGTCCGATACCTCATACAATGCTTCATCTTGTTGGTCCAAAAGATTATGTTCTTGATGTTGCCCTTCCCCTGTCGCATGCGCTGAACCATCTTGCTCTTCAACATGAACAGCATTGTCAAGAATATCTTTTCTTTGCCTAAACACTCCCCACAGGTAGTGCTTCCCCTGGAAAACTGAAGTTCAAAAGAATTTGATCAGTAATAGGAAAAGGTCAGCAAAATATTCCAATATAAGACAAGGAAATATCAAAAGCAAGCAATGCTGGTTCATATGAAAAGGGTTTTAAATATGAAAAGAAACAGGTGTTTGCATAGCAATTTTTTTTTTGGAGGGTGGGGTGTGTGTGTGTGTGTGGGGATGGCATTCTCTAGCTGCGACACTTACGATGATATTGTTCTGGTAATAGGACAGAGGGGAATATCAGTAACTCCGCAATGCCAACAGTAACCTGTAAGGCATCATCACTCTTGATAATTCTGTTAAGTCTGCTTAAGTCCTCATTTTGCCTGGAATGAAATGACAATATCAGTAATCCACAATCACATTGAGTATGGGAAGAGGAAATAATTAGACAGGCAAACACACATCGGACTATGTGGGAAGAAAAATAACCCAATGTTTTCATCAGTAGGTCCTGAAGATATCCATCTCTCTGGCCAGGCTTGCAACCGAGAGAGCGTCCTTACTTCAACTACTTGCTGCAACAATCCTGACAATTCATGAACTCTCTGGCACGCTTTGTTTGACAAGTGCGCATCCAACTTAAGAAACACTTCGCTGTCTATCTTAAAGACTCCACTGTTCAAATTAAAAAAGAATGCATCACATTTTTTATACAAAAAAGAAGAATATCACTTTTTTCAAAGAACAAACAAATATTACTATGATTCAGAGAAGAAAAAATATTGTACAATTCATCACATGTTATACAAGAATATTACTTTGTTTCAGAGAAGAAAAAGATCATCTAACATACCTCCAAACAGGCTCATCAAGGGGTTGCAAACAAATATGATATTGTTGATCGGCACGTTCTGAATCAGATAGTCTGGATTGGTGACAATGGTCAGCTGCAACTGGAGTTAGTGACGCCATCTTTGCACTGTCATTTGAAGACCACTTTGAGGCATTGTTCAGAGCATACTCATCACCTTCGATATCCTCTTCATCTTCATTTTCAACTATGTATCTTCTCCTCCGCTTCATTGGCCCACCATTTATGAGATTTTGGTCATTTATGTCGCCAGTTTGTACAGCCTCTTCCACATAATATTCAGTGTTTATCCGATGCCTCACCATTGGTTCATTACACTTAAGAGGTTGATGATTGACATTTCCCTGCTGGACGTCTTCAGCCTTGTCTTCTTCTTCATCTTCATCGTCATCAGTTAGAATGAGACGTCTACGCTTTTTTGGGCTGTCCTTTCTCAAGTTTTGAACAGTATCAGAAATTTCAACTTCTGTAGCACTAGCCTCATGAGCGAATTTAGTTTTTGAAGAGATCTCTAAGGATGAAGTTGAATACGCTTGATCTGTTGTTAGTGATTGTGGAGTTTGCATTGATTTGCGGACTAACCCTTCCAATGGTTTAAACACATGAGATTGACCAGTGTCTCCTAATGTATAACCCAGGGCATTCACAATTACAGGGGTAGGCTGCTTAACACCTTTCGATAACGAAGCTGAGCCAACCTGTCCTATTGAGAGGTTCAACTGCTCTGTACAATTCGAAGAATGTTTAGACCTTATACCTCTTCTATTGATGCCTTTGCCTCTCATATTTGACTTGTTCCTAATGCACTTCTTTCGCAAAGACTTTGCCCTAGAAGAATGTTTTTTCTTTAGATTTGCACCTACAACCGTAGACTTCCTTTTTCGTTGTCCCGATGTCCCTACAACCGTAGCTGACTCCAGTCTCTTGGTAATTGGCTGCTGTGATGTAGAGTCAAATCGAGCATGATTTGATGGCCTTTCACTTGACACCTTCTCTAGAGACCTGCTGTGAGAACCTTCATTATGCCGTTGTTTGCATTCATCACAAAACCAGTCCTCTAAAGTTGCATCAAAGAGAACTTTGTCCAAACAGTACCTGCACCAATGATGAATTCATGAAAAGGATGGCCTATCTTTTAGATTCAGAAAAGAAAGCTAAACATGTAGTACTAACATAACTAAACTGCAGAAGTAGCGCATTTAATGTGATCTATGATAAAAACTTTCAAAAGAGAACAAATCTCTCTACTTAATGAAATGACCTGCAGTTCTCCTGCTTAGTTCGAGGGGAAAAAAAGAAGAAATCTATTGTTGACTATGTCCATTAACAAGGCAAACACAAATATTGGATTCAACAAAATATGTTCAAAGGTACAGATACGGCTTTTTATATATCAAGTGGTAATAGCACACTTCAGAAAACAGAGGTACCAGGTAATTATTTGTTCCTATTATTGCAAAGTTAATAATCAGGTATCCTTAGGATGAAAAGGCACATACTGGTGTGTATGGCCTCCCTTGCAGTCACTGCAACATAACAGGAGACGTTCAAAACCAATAGCTCCACACACTTCACACACAACATTCTGCAGAAATGCCAAGGGGTTAGTTAACAAACTATTAAACCATAAAATAGTCTGATAGCATTATCATATTTTCTGATACAACATCCAAGTTCACTAGTTATGATATACTAGATGCGTATGTCATTGATGATTAAAGATCAGTTGCAACCAATAACATTTGGATGGGTTGTTTGTGTGCAACATAAATTAAGAAACACTCAAGATAGGTGCCCTCCATTGAACCTTTTAATGGCCACATAGTTCACAAGTGCTAGAAGTTAAAGTCTCGGAAAACCATAGCCCAGTCCATTGAATCTAGCTGTGTGTATAGTAACAATTAGTTTGATCTAGCGTGAGCATAGCAGTGAGGCCATCATCTAGATAGATTTTGTTTGAGTGAGCTAGAATATAGTTACTTGTACAATCTCAAACTTAAGCAAGCTCAACACAGCAAATTTAGAAACCAAACCAGATGTAAAGACCAGGTACTCAGCCAACAAAATCTAGCTGATCTCAAGTATATCAAACCAAATATAAATAAAAAATAGTTTAGTAACAGGGACTAGAATGTTGGGAGTTAGATAAACATCACATTGAAACATTTGTCTGATACTGAATATAACCTAGTTTATAAAAACCATATGAAAATATAATAATGACTAATTTGGAAAGAAAAGATGGCTGCGCGGCTGCGGCAGTAATAGTGCAAGATGGCACCAAAACATACTTGTATCAGGTAAGTATTACGTTAAGTACAGCATTTGCAGGTGGACTAAACCAGCAAATATCATTGAAAGCAAGCATCATGTATCCAATTGGGTATCAGAGTTTAACACTTCCTCCAATCACAAACATAAGTCCGTCTAGATATGTCCTATGTCAAAAAAAAAATTAACTTTGGCTAGTGATATCTTCAAAAGTACATTATTTAATGAAAAGAGATAATATATGACAATAGTATTTTCATAACTAATCTAGTGATGTCAATTTTGCGATGTCAAACTATAAAAATCTTAGATATTTATTATAGTCGAAGTTAAAAAAAACTTGGAATAAATGTATATGGACTTATATCTGATAGAATGATTATTGCCAGACTGAGCACTTTCTATTCATTGAACAAGAGTTTATATAGGGGATACATGACTCTTCGTATAAGACTTATCACATTCTAGACTTATCACATTCTAGACTATTTGTATTCTAATACCCTCCCGCAGACTCAACCGGGAGATGAGCGAACGTTGAGACTGGAGCGGAAATTGATGAAGACAGCAGTTGGCAAACCCTTGGTGAATATATCAGCATATTGAAGAGACGTTGGAACATGAAGTACTCGGACAGCTCCAAGGGCCACACGCTCCCGAACAAAATGGAGATCGATCTCCACATGCTTGGTCCTTTGGTGATGAACTGGATTTGTGGACAAATACACGGCACTGATATTGTCACAATAGACAAGAGTAGCACGTGTTAAAGGACGACGAAGCTCACTCAGGAGCTGACGAATCCAGCATGTCTCAGCCACAGCATTGGCAACACCCCTGTATTCAGCTTCAGCACTAGACCGCGAGACGGTGTGTTGGCGCTTGGAGGACCATGATATAAGATTATCACCAAGAAATACACAATAGCCAGAAGTGGAGCGACGTGTGTCTGGGCAGCCAGCCCAATCGGCATCTGAGTAAACCACTAGCTCATGAGATCGGCTGCGAGAAAGAGCAAGGCCGTAGTCCATAGTGCCTTTGATGTATCGCAAAATGCGTTTGATGAGAGCAAAGTGCGACTCCCTGGGATCATGCATATACAGGCAAACTTGTTGAACGGCATGAGCAATGTCCGGCCGTGTGAGAGTCAAGTATTGTAAGGCACCAGCAAGACTGCGGTATAATGTAGGGTCAGCAACTGGTGGTCCATCTTGGGAGGACAGCTTTGAATGAACCTCAAGTGGAGTTTGGCAAGGGTTGCATGATGACATGTTTGCCTTGACCAGGATTTCAGCAGCATATTTAGCTTGAGACAGAAAAAGACCTGTGGATGACCGTTCAGCAGAAACTCCCAAGAAATAGTGAAGATTGCCAAGATCAGTCATGGCAAATTCCTGCTGAAGGGAGCCAATAATATGTTGAAGAAGATGATGGGATGAAGCTGTCAAAATGATGTCATCCACATACAGTAGAAGATATGCCATATCCGTACCATGAGTATATATGAAAAGTGAAGTATCACATTGAGAAGCCTGAAAACCAATAGAAGTAATGAACGCCTGGAAGCGACTATACCAAGCCCGCGGGGCCTGTTTAAGACCGTATAGAGCCTTGTTGAGCTTGCACACATAATTAGGACGAGAAGGGTCAACAAACCCAGGTGGTTGTTGGCAATAAACAGTCTCGTTGAGAGTACCATGTAAGAATGCATTTTTGACATCCAGTTGATGAATAGGCCAATCACTGGAGACAGCAAGTGATAATACCGTGCGAATTGTTGCAGGCTTGACCACTGGACTGAAGGTTTCATCATAATCAAGGCCGTGTTGTTGAGAGAAGCCGCGCACAACCCAACGAGCCTTGTATCTTGCCAAAGACCCATCAGCATTTAGTTTGTGACGGTATAGCCATTTGCCGGAAACAATATTAGCATGTGGAGGCGGTGGCACAAGGTCCCATGTTTGATTAGCAATGAGGGCACCATATTCCTCCTCCATGGCACGCTTCCAATTCGGATCAGAAAGAGCACCACGATATGTTTTTGGAAGCAAGCTAATATCTTTGGAAGCCGCTGCCAGATTGCAGTAAGCCTGCCCGTCTTGCTGTCGTGGCTGGCTGATGCCAGACTTGCCCCTGGTTTGCATGGCGTGCTGATTGATGGTGGGAGGGACAGGCACAATCGGCGCATTTGAGGAGCGCATAGCAGCAGGGATGACAGTGGAGGTGGTGCTGGGCAGCGCAGGAGATGGCACTAGTGGTGGTTGATCTGCAGGCACTGGTGGTGCTCCAGGAGGTTCCTGTCGGCGAGTGTATACTTGCATAACCGGAGGTCGATAGTGCAGGCCTCCAGCAGACGTACCGGACTGGTGGCCCAGATCATTGACAGGGCTGTCAGGAGCCAAATCTTGGCCCTGAAAGACAAGAGGAAGGGGTGCTGCACCTGATCCCTGCCCTTGTCGCGGTTGGCTGGAAGTCGTGCCTTGATGATGTGGAGGTACAGCAGCTGGTTGAGCAGCTGAAGGCACAACTGGACCAGCGCCTGGCGAAGCCATCGGTGGGCCAGCAGAGTTAGAAGGCACTGCTGGGAAGCCGCCGGATATCACCGGATCAACATCTGTATCATCCAAAAAATCATAGGCACTCAATGGTGCCGGTGAGTCACGTGTGAAAGGAAATTGTTGCTCATCAAAGACCACGTGACGGGAGGTGATCACTCGATTGGTGGTGAGGTCAAGGCAACGATACCCTTTATGGTTATCAGGAAAGCCAAGAAGAACACATTCTGTAGAGCGTGGTGCAAGTTTATGGGGCATAGTGGCAGAAAGATTGGGGTAACAACGACACCCAAAGACACGGAGGTGAGCGTAGGAGGGTGGTGTACCAAAAAGAGCTTGGTGTGGGGTGCGGTTTTGAAGAGTTTTGGTGGGGTGAAGGTTAAATAAATAAGTAGCAGTGCGAAGTGATTCAGCCCAATATGCCGGTGGCATAGATGCTTGAAACAACAATGTGCGCATGATGTTATTGATGGATCGAATGACACGTTCGGCTTTGCCATTTTGTTGGGATGTGTGAGGGCAAGAAAGACGAAGATGAATACCTTGTTGAAGGAAAAAAGAGCGAGCAGCATTGTTGTCGAATTCGCGACCATTGTCGCTTTGAATAAATTGGACACGACAATGGAAATGAGTGAGCACATAGCTATGAAAGTTTCGCAAAGTGTTGAATGTTTCAGATTTCAGTTTAAGTGGGAAAGTCCACAAGTAATGAGTGAAATCATCCAAACACACAAGGTAGTATTTGGAACCGGATATGCTTATAACAGGAGACGTCCACAAGTCACAGTGAATTAATTCAAAAGGTTTAGATGCTCTTGACATAGAAGTAGGAAAAGGCAAACGAGTGTGACGACCCAACTGACAGGCATGACACAAAGAGGTGTCATGCTCACTAGGAATTACAGAAATAGAATTATTTATTCGCAAGCGGGAGAGAACTTGGTTGCTGGGATGCCCCAATCGCCGGTGCCAAATGGTCTCCAGGGCAGCGAGCAGGACACGAGGATGTGAAGTGGACGTCGGAAGGAGTGGGTAAAGATCCCCAGAGCTATCACAGCGGTGGAGCACCGTCTTGGTTTGGAGATCCTTCACAGATAAACCAAAAGGATCAAATTCAACTGAACATGAATTATCTGTGGTAAATTTGCGAACGGAAATGAGATTAGCTATGAGTTGAGGTGACACAAGAACATTAGAAAGGTGAAAAGGACGGTGTGAATTTGGAAGTAAGGTGTAGCCAGAACAAGTAATAGGTAGACGGGTGCCATTACCAACAAGTATATTAGAATTGGAGTGAAGAGAGGGGCTGATATTGGAAAGATTACCAGAAGATGAAGAAAGATGAGAGGACGCACCCGAGTCCATATACCAGTTCGCATCGGGCTGCTGTAGAGTCATTGTGTTGAAGACATTTGCCAGAGCAGCCTGATTCCAGGAAGCCGACGGGTCCAGGGTACTGCCAAGACCGTAGGACGGGTAAGCGCTGTAGAGGTAACTGGGCGGGGAAGCAGCAGCACCCAGTGGAGCAGCAAGATGTGCCTGTGCAGCACCCAGTGGAGCAGCCGAAAGTGGTGGACGAGGCGCCTGGAACGAGCCAGCGCCTGGGTGGGCACCGAGGATACCTTGGCCCGGCATCGGCCACATTTGGAAGGAGCCGCTCCACGGATTGGACCACGGACGAGCGGGAGGTGGGGGAAGAGCAGCAACTATGGCTGCTGCCAGAGCAGCGGCAGCCTAGGTGTCATCATCGGCCATGAGAAGAGGAGCAGAGGCGCACACAGGGAAGAGAAGGTGGAGAGGAAGAGTTAGAGAGAGGGAGAGGATCGGTTTCTCTCTGATACCATGATAGAATGATTATTGCCAGACTGAGCACTTTATATTCATTGAACAAGAGTTTATATAGGGGATACATGACTCTTCGTATAAGACTTATCACATTCTAGACTTATCACATTCTAGACTATTTGTATTCTAATAATATCGACAATCAAAGGAAGTAACTTGTGCATCTGCTATTCTATTAACTTTGCAGTCATGATATCACATACAAATGGAAACACTCTACCATACAAAGCTCAAAAAGATCATGAGGCATGATTAGTCGTCCTTATTGTCACATGAGGCTAGATAAGGGTCCTCGATACGATTACCTCGACTACAAAATTAGTTGTCCGACTAATGGATGACTAATCATGATTAGTCGTCTGATAAGGCCATCCAAACGACTAACCGAGTCAGCCCAAGAAATTTATATGGTGGGAAGAATTTGGCCCACCCTTAGCAGGCCCATTAGGTTTATAGTATATATGGCTCCCGTTTTTTCCACTGCGAGGGCTATTTTTTATTAGGCTCTCGCTTTCGCTCGCCTCTCCCTCGTTGGCTCCTGCCTCTGCCCCCGCCTCTCGACCGCCAGCGCCTCCACCACCACCTGCGCCTGGGCTCTTGGCTGCCTACAGCTCCACCTGCCTCTACCCTGTTGATGCCTCCGCCTCCGCCTCCGCCTCAGCCTCCGCCTGCTTCTTCCCTGCCAGCGCCCTCTGCCTCTCCCCCGTCAGCCCTCATGCCTTCACCCACCTCTGCCTACTCCCCCGCCGGCGTCTAGAGGACCTGACCTGAAGCTACAACTTTGAGCATCCTCCACGATCATCAAGATGATCCCCCACTCTTCCATTTGCCAATTTATGATCACCTTAAATAATATTTTACTTTCCATCATAAAGCCCCTTCATTGAATTCCGTTGCAAGTCAGATTCAAAACCACAGCCTGAAGAGCCAAACAAGACTCCAGGCACCGAAGGCTACTTTTACAGCATGAAAGTATTTATGTAACAAACAAACTATGCAACACACACACACACACACACACACACAAATGCCTCTTATGCCTCCCCTCTAGGGCTCGCGTAAATAAATGGCTCTCGCACATCTTCACCACCTCCTAGAGTCTCACCATCTTCTGCACATTTACTTAGCACCTCCTTGACACCTCCTCAAAGCTTGCCTCCCTATTTAACTGACCCATCACTCTGACCTACACAAGTCCTAGTCCTTTCCCCATACTTTACCTTCTTGATACTATGAACAAAAAATAGTGATACAAACTTTTCTACAAACACATGTTGATACCTAACCTTAATCATCGGGGCTGCTATCATTAGTAACTATTAAGTACTGTTTGATTATTTTCGACAATGAACCACTCACGTCAGCAAGCTTTCACATTTTATCAACTAAACTGTAGTTGTTTTGTGTCAGGATTTATTTTGAACAAGACCAATATGTAGAAATTAAACCATACTTCATTTGCACGCCTCACTACAAAGTTAGGAACAAAAGAAAGTTGCTCTGTTTGTTGCAAAGGTAGCACCTGATGCTCTATTGGCCCATCTGTAGGCTAATGACATGCGGAGGCATGTACTTGACTCCACTAATCATGGTTCTAATAGAGTCCACACCGAATGCATAGATGGGAAGTCGATGCCCATACTCCATAGATTCAATGCCAGAGTACAAAAACTAAAGGAAATAGTACAAGACAAAATGCTCCTCCAATAGTGAACGCCAAAATCCGGGACCATCCAAATCAAGGCGGGGACCATGCTCAAATGTCCGGTGTCCACGCACAACCAGTCCGCAAGAATTCGTCTGTCGGCTCCGGGACGACATCGGCAACCAAATTCGCCCGGTCCACCATTTTTTTCGGGAAGAAGCAGTAATTAACAAAGACAGGCGGAGGAACCGCGAGCGAAGGGATTGAAACGTACCATTGTAGCCCCGACCAGCCTCTCCCTCCGCTAACAAGCACCAGCTAGCCTAAAGACGGAATCCCCAAGAAATCGAATCCGGCGGATGCCCCAAAAGCCCGAGGGCCTAGTGGAGGCATGAAGATATTTCGAAGGCACCACCAGCGCCACCCCTCTCCGAGCGCAATGCTTCCAACGGCCAAAGATCCTCTTGAACCCTACTACTCGGCGTCTCGGCCACTCTCTCTCTCTCTCAACTCGAAAGAAACCAGGAGAGGCAGACGATGGGGGAGAGGAGGAAGGCAAATAATGGTGCCTCGGCGGTTTTCTTGGTTGTCAGAGGGAGAAGGGCCTCGCAGGTGGCGCAGTAATCGGAAGATTAGTAACGGGTGTGGCGGCGTGGTTAAGGCGGTGCGAGGAGACAAAGCGAGAGAGACAGGGGTGGGCGGCGTGGGGGTCTGGGTCGCTGGCCACCGTCGGATCCGGCGTGGGACGGTGATTACTGATTAGGCACGGGATATTTCCGCATTTGTGGTGGGCTCGCGATGCACAATGGTTCTGGAGAGTTCGCTCCCCATCTGAAAATAATAATAAAAAATTGGACATAGATAACGCGCGAGGAGGTTGCCCGTTTGGGAAGAATTTTTTTAATTTTAACACTTTTTTATAACTAATTTTAAATCTAACACTGTCTGTTTTTTTTAAACTAACACTTTTAGCTGCACCTATTGCCCTGGCGCGACCAAATACCTGTGCCTCGCCATGCATGGTGGCGCGGCAGCGGGCTGACATGGCGACGACCAGACTCGCGGCCGTTGACGTGGCAGGGCACTGCCGCGCCACCGATCTTGACGCGGCACTACCGCGCGACGGAGCATGGCGCGGCTGGGCCAAATAAATATCGCGGGCGAGGGCGCCCGCCTGCACGCACCCCTGCCCGCCCGCCCGCAGTCGCGCATCGCCCGCCGTTGTAACACCCAAAAAATTGCCTCTTTTGAAATAAAGCCAAAATGATTATTTATGAATTTTTGTGCACATAAAATATAGGAAAATAAAAATTTTCATTAAATTAAAATACATCATAAGGTAGCAACATGTTTAACCATATATGCCATTGCATTTGATTTTATTGGTTGAGTGGTTTTAATTAAAAAGTCAAAATGGTTAAAATGCTTTTGAAATGAAATTGAAAATGGCTTTGAAATAAAAGAAACGAAAGAAAAGAAAATTAGAAAATAAAAGTATTTTAAAAGCTGTAAAGTTTATCTTGGAAAGCCTAACGAAATTGTCTATTTTTATTGAATAGGGAAGTATATTTGAAACTATACTTGAATTCGATTTGAATTTAGCTTAGAATTGAAAACTAGAAATAGAAAAGAATTTAATTTGGAAAAACTTCATCTTCTTCATTCAGCCCAGCCTCGGAACCGGCCCACTCTTTTCCTCCTCCACTTGGCCTGCTGGCCTGCTGGCTGGCCCAGCAGCCTTCTCCCTTTCCTCCCCTTCCTTCCTTACTACCGCGCACGGCCCATCCAGCATTGGCCTACACTGCGCGGCCCAACTCGGCGGCCCACTGCTTTGCGCGCGCAAGTCACCGACCCAGCTTTCCCGCGGCCCGCCTCGGCTTCACCCGCACACACCCACCGCTCTCTCCCTTTCCTCACTGCCCCGTGGGTCCCGTCCGTCAGCCGGACACGCTCCTTCCTTCTTCCTTTCCTTTCTTCCCCACTCTTTCCTTTCTTGCTCCCGGCGATGGCGCGCCACGAACGGCAAGCCACTGCGCCGGCGCTCCTACAAGGCAAGCAGCCAATCCGCCCCGCTCCCCTTCCATCTACCGCCCGCCGCTCGCCTATAAAGCCCGAGCCGCATCTCCCCTTCTCCCCTTTCCTCTGTCAACGCTCAAGCTCGCCACTGTTGCCGGCGAATCCACCGTTCCTGAGCTCAACCGCCGTCGCCGACGTCCCCTAGAGCTCCGCCGTGTTCCCCCGAAGCCTTAGGTACCGTCAATTCTTCGGTTTGGCCCTGATTTGCTTCGATTCCATCTCACCCGAGCCCTCTCTCTCTCCAGCCATCGTCGCCGTCGTCGACCTGCTTCGAAGCCTCCCCGGACGCCGCGCTCCTTTCCAATCGAATCACGGTGAGCTACTCGTCCTCCCAATGCCATCTATTCATCAATTAGCGCGCTAGAACGCCACATCGGCGAGATCCTGAGCCGCCGGCCATGGCGCCGCCGTCATGTGCTTCTTCCCCGGCGACCCGCTACCCCCGTACACGCCTGCACCGTCAGATCTGACGTGGACGACCACGATAAGCCCGTACCCCTTCGTTGTGTAACCGGTCCACCGTGGGCTGTGGACTCGGCCCACGGCGCTGCGTCAGCATGCGCCCACGCACACGTGGTGCATCACACCAATCGCGTGCTACCACGCGTTCGCCCGGTTAGCAGCTGCAGTCAAACATCCGGTCAGTCATGCACGTTTTGCAGTAAAACCCCTCGGTTTCTAGTGAATTAACCCGTAGTCCGATTCAGTTTAAAATGATTTCTTTTAGGTCCTGTTTTCTTCCATTTTAGCCTCTGTATTTTCCAAAAATAGTACGCGCAGTCCAGCAGCAGTGTAAATTCATATTTTAATTGTTTTAATTTAAAAATGAGTTCGAGTTATCTACAGAAATGCCGCTGAACCTTATTTCATGCGTAACTTATGTGTTTTAAGTCCGATTTGACCCATTCGAGTTGCGTTAGGACCGTATTTACGTTTTCTACATGTTTATACAACTGTTAGGCATGTTTCCAATATTTCAAATTCATGGGTAGATTTAATTGATTATTTAACTATAGGAAAACTTGTTTAAATCATAACTTATTCATTTTAATTCCAAAATAGTCCGTTC